GGTTAAATAAGGGTTTCTGCTTAGGTGGAATAAAACATATTATGTTTTTTGAATTTATTCTTCATATTTATGGCACAAAACTTAACAGATTAACAATACAACATTTTGTCAATAGACTTCGCTCTTTTTTGCCCAACATCAGTCGTTTATCTCATACGTACCCTTAACTCAATTTAGTGGAGGCAAAACATTATTTTATATTTAGGTGACACGAATACTCTTAAAGTTCCTGCTCCTAATGAATGTTTTTTTACACTACAACATGCAAAATAAGAAGCTATTTTCTGCAGCGTGGAAAATTCCTTGAATATCAACAAAAGCTTTCGCCCATTCCGCCTCTTCTTTTTCGTAGTATAGTGATCCTAACGGAACTCATTCCAGTAAACAGCATGTTACGCCTAAGGTCAACACAGTAAACGAAGTAAAGACCCTCAAGTGTGTTTAATGACCCACGTTTCATCAGATATGCAATATAATCTACTTATTTATTTATACATAACCCTCACTCTAATCGTAAACTTTTGCCTAAGCCTAATACATACCTTAACCTTACAACTGCCCTAACCGTAACACGTCAGCCTGGTACTATACGTGTATAAGGTGCTCTTCCAATGATACCGCTCACAAACATAGAAAGAACCTTCCATGAAAAAATATTTATTATCATCAATATTATTTATTTTTGCTGACATAAACACAAATTTTAGATAAGCGCTATAGTGCAACTCTGAGATGTTTGGTTCAACAAATAATAATATGAGTGTTAAGTAGAATGCCGCGTAGGCCATTCTTCGTATGCTTGTCAAGAGAAACATTTCCAAGCCGTGACATTTTGGATACAGCTAACCTGCGAAACAATTGAAGTCATTTGAAAGTTAATTTCGTTAAGGCAACCCATTTTTCAGTTTCTCCTATCCACTTCAAAACACACTACTGCGGCGAGTGCCACCCGAGGATTCTCTCTGGATAGGTTCGTCCCGGTAGATTCACGAATCATTTCACCCGTTCTCAAACATTCAGTGCACACCATCTTCGAAAAGTGTTCCGACGTGCGCAGCGGGTTCTCTACGCGTCAAGAGCAGATAGGACATCTTTTTGTCCTGGCCTGTTGGTTGTCCTGCAGAGCAAATTCCCACTGCGGATCATTTCGCTCGTTCTCCAACAGTCAGCACACACCAGTCCCTTAAAGTGCTCCGATCGCTGCAGCGGTGGATGAACCTGCCGCCTGCAGACGGGGCATATTGCCCCTTCGCCCTGATGGTTGGTTTGTGGAGGCTGCTGAATAAGTCCCACGATATCCTTGAGGATACGGGCCGGCTCAACGTCTGCTTCCGCGAAGACTCGTCCGAAAATTGGGCAGGTGGTTCGATTTGCTTTGAGCAACCCCTGCAGACAGGGTTCTCTGCAGAAGAAGTGTTGGCATGGCAGACAGTATGGCTCTTTACAAGTGCCCCAGCTAATGTTGCACCGCAAGGTCTCCAGGAGAGCTTCAACATTTGCTGCCATTGCTCAATGACTTACGTCGCTGACAGCACCACCAGCATCAATACCACAAAAGGTATCTTTGCTGAGCGAGAGAATGGAATCGATTGACTGTCTGACTAATTAGCGTTAAGCTAATGCTTCGGGTGTGTTATAAGACGCCAGCCAATACGTGTGTGGAGAGTTAGGCGATTGGTTGGTTTTCCACACGAAATGAGACCGTGTGTGTATGTGGCTGCCGAATGTACAGATGTTGTGTAGACGGTATTTCTAGACAGAAGTGACCCCACAAATAGCGATTAGCTCTTTTGGCTCTAAATGACATTTATTATCGATTTTTTTATCAGGTCGATGTGAAATTGTAAAAAAAGCAGGACAACGATATACCATGCGGGCATATGCCATTTTTTTTCAAACGTCAGTTAACACTGGGGGCGGCCACCTATGGTTCGCTAGCCAGAGCTGGCTCTGTCAGATAAAATTGGAATACGAAACTTCCGATTTTGTGATTTTGGTTCCTCTAATGACGTGCCGCCGCCGAGGCGCGTATTAGAATCAATTTTAGCTCGATCCATCTCTGGCGTTTTGCCCTCCTCCTTCGATTGACCTAGCAGTTGTTCCGGTGTTCCCTTTCCGACATGCCGACAACAGCTGACTCCCTTTTCTCCTGCGTCCCAACGGCCGCCACAAGCTCATTAAATAGTACATGATCTAGTTAAGCACGACAGCCTTCAGACTTGACCTCAGCTTAGGCAGGATCACGCTGGCAGACAAAGCTATCTTACACGCGTTTGAAAGCCTGCCTTGTTAAGTGAAATCTCTTGTCTTTATGTCCCCCAGATGGAACATTTATCACACGCAAGCAAACGGCCCTCTCGCGGAAACCTACTTTGGAAACTAATAAACCGTTGCTTATCTGTGAATGCTCTATTTTATCAGACGGAATACCCTTAGTGAAGTGGTTATAGCAGATTGCACTTCCTTGATCGCAACACCCTTTCCCTCTCATTTGCCCAAAGTTAACCCATGCAACAGGGAAGATGGCGAAACGAAATAGAAATGGGGAGCATCGTACCTTTCAGGACGAATGGGCGGAAGAATTCACCTTTGTGGAGCGAGCAGGTAATGCGATGTGTGTGTAATTTAAAATGACAGGATAACATTTATAATGGCGGTCGAATATAAAGCGCCACTTTAACGCATGCCGCGATAACTTTGCATCAAAATACTCTGCGGCAAATAGCAGAAAGAAAGCATGGACCCAGCACGGAGGCTATAACACTGCTACCTTTGCTGGATCTTTAGCACTAATAAGATGGCGAGTACGCTAAAGCGTTCGTGCTGGATATAGCCCATAAAAATTTGATGATCCTCCGAACAAAAACAAGACAATCAAGCGGATAAAGGGTATGCCTTTGTCGGCAAAAACGGTTAATGAGCATGGGGCCATCAGGTGTGCCGTATTTACAAATCCCACAAAATAGTAAAACGCATTGTCCAGTAATGGATAATAGGTTACCTCTTTAAAATGCACTTTAATTAATGATACAGCTGATATATATCCCTGCATGGTTCTCTTTTGCCTTTAAAACGAAAATGTTTATTTGTAAAGTCTTTTTTGCTTATATGAAGGTAAATTATCCAATTTTCATTGGAAAGAACTAACTTTTCACGTTATATTGTAGTATTCTCTGCTAGAGTTGACAACTTCCAGGTTTTGTTCTAAGCTTGCAAATGTAAAACGTTTTTACCGAAGTTCTGCTAAGAAATTGCGGCAACAGTAGCTAATGTAGCCCCACTCACTAACCCCTACAACCTGCACATTTTTTTACGAAAACAGTGTTTATGGGCGGAAAATTAGGACACGCAGTGGAACATACCTTTATAAATGCTAAATGAATTTTTTAAATTTTACCTTCATTTTCCCCAGAAGAGGAAGAAGAAGTGGAGGCGATTC